GACACAGGACCTCCAAAAATGCTGTTGAGTTCGTTTTGTGTTGGCCATCTACTGCTGAGTGGTTTGATTCCCCAGTGAGACTCTTGATGAAAATTAGTTTTTATTGCTGTCAGTTGGAGATAGCATCTGGGTTAAAGATGAGGGAATGCATCTTCTTTCAGCTCTAGGATCCCATCTGGTGCAGACCCCTGCAGCCCATGTGTGTGCTGCCTCTGTCTCTGTGAGTTCATGTGTGCGCTAGTGATGTTGTGCCAAGAGGTCTTGACTCCTTGGCATCCTCCATTCCCTCTTACTCTGTTTCTGCCTTCTCTTCCTCAGAGTTCCCTGAGCCCTGAGGAAAAGGATTTGATAGAAACATCCCTTTTAGGGTTGAGTGTTTTGAGGTCTTTCACTCTCTGTATATAAATGTAATTGGTCTCCATAACCTCCTAGGGAGTGGCACTATTAGGAGGTGTGGATTTGGAGGAAGTGTGCCACTGTGGGGGTGGGCTTTGAGACTGACTATGCTCAGGATACCACCCAGTGTCTCAATTCATTTTCTGTTGCTTGCAAGATGTAGGACTCTCAACTACTTCTCCAGTATCATGTCTGTCCGCATGCCACCATGCTCCCTGCCATGATGATAATGGACTGAACCTCTGAAACTGCAAGCTACCACCTCAATTAAATGGTTTCCTTTATAAGACTTGCCATGGTTGTGGTGTCTCTTCACAGCAATAGAAACCCTAAGACACTAGTATATTGTCTATCTGCGGGTTTCTGTATTTGTTCCCATTTGCTACAGGAGGAAGTTCCTCTGATGATGTGTATATTGCCTCCATCTCTGTGAATTTTCCCTGATGAATAAGGATGTTGAACATTTCATTGAGTGCTTCTTAGCCATTTGAGTTTTCTTTTTTGAGAAGTCTCTGTTTAGATATCTACCCCCTTTTGAAATTGGGTTATTTGTTTTCTTGATGTCCAGATTTTTTGAGGACTTCATATATTTTGAATATTAGCCCTCCATCAGATGTGTAGCCATTCTTCAGGCTGCTGCTTTGTTTGGATGATGGTTTCCTTTGCCATGCAGAAGCTTTTCAGTTTCATGAGGCCACGTTTATTGATTGTTGATCTTAGTGCCTGTTAATGGTGTTCTGTTCAGAAAGTCTTTTCCTGTGCTGATGAGTTCAAGACTATTGCCCACTTTCTCTTCTATCAGGTTCAGTGTATCTGGTCTTTGATACATTTGGGGTTGAGTTTTGTGCAGGGTGACGAGTGCGGATCCATTTAGATTATTCTGCATGCAGACATCCAGTGTGACCAGCACCATTTGATGAAGATACTGTCTTTTTTCCAGTGTATGTTTCTGACTCTTTATAAAACAAACAAACAAAAACACCCAGGTGTCCATAGGTGTGTGGACTTATTTCTGGTGTGTCAAGTCTATCAATGTTTCTGTTTTTGTGCCAGTACCACAGCTGTTTTTATTCTATAGCTCAGTAGTACAATTTGAAATTGGATATATTCTTTTGTATTTGGATGGGATGTTCTGTAGATATGTGTTAGGACTATTTGACTTATAACATCAATTAGCTCCAGCGTTTCTCTGTTTAGTTTGTGCCCAGATGACCTGTGTTTTGTCAAGTGGGGAGTATTGAAGTCACCCGCTATCACTGGGTGAGGATCAATACATGATTTAAACTACAGTAGTGTTTCCTTTATGAACTTGGATATCCTTGTGTTTGATGAATAGATTGTAAGAATTTCAATATCCTCTTAGTGAATTTTTCATTTGATAGTATGTAGCGATCTTCCCTATTTCTTTCTATATTTTTGGTTTGAAATCTATTTTGCCAGATATTAAAATGGCTATACTGACTGACTTTTTAGGTCCATTTACTTGGACTATCTTTTTAAATTCTTCATTCTGAGGTGCTGCCTATTCTTGATATTAAGGTGTGTTTCTTGGATGCAACAGATTTTATTTATATAATTATGCATTTACATTTGGGTATATGTTTGTTTAACATTAATAGTTAAAGGAAAAAAGGCCATGTGTTTGAGTGTGGGTTATGAGGGGTCCTAGAGAGAGGAAAAGGAAGGGGTGTTATGATAATAATGCATGTGGGGAACATTGGCGGGATTCCATGTCGGGTAAGGTTGATCTTGTGGAGGGACAAACATGCCAGGTTTAAGTGAGAAGTTTTATTAGAAAGAGGAGGGAAGGAAGGGAAAAGACATAAAGACACACACACACACACACACACACACACACACACACACAGAAGGAGAGAGGAAAGGAAAGAGAAAGAGGAGGGGGACAGATATGAGAGAACAGAAAGAGATAGGGAAAGAGAGTGCTGAAAGAGACAGGGGTCTTTTAAAGGGGTCCTTTGCTCCTGCCTCCAGACTAGTAGTCATGGAACCCTGAGCTGACCAGGGTACTGCCTGAGTGCATTCTGCCAGCATAATGCCTGAATCCTTATAAGAGGGAAATGGTTTAATTGTATTTTAATTAACAATTTAAGACTACTTTCAATTACAGAAGAAAAATGTGTATATAAAATACATTAGCCTAAGACATACATTAAGCATTTAATTTTTGTTGGTATGAAATATTAAAATATTAATTGCCAGTGTTTTGATAATGGTCTGACTTAAGAATAACCTAAGTGCCCCCATTTAAAAATATAAGGTGGGAAGCCTGGGAAACTGAAAAGGCAAAAGGGCATCTTCTAGCACAACCTTGTAAACAATATCCATCAAAGAAGTTAAGCTGTACTAACAATCACAGAAAACACCACTGTCACCAGCAATATAACAAATGTAGCAATGAATATAAGGTTAAAAAGCAGTTATATTAGCTCCAAGACACACAATGGGTGGCCCTATATGCAGGGAGGTAGGGAAGAACACTTAGTGTCTAGTATCAGTCGTTTTTTCCCTCCTGATAATGGTTATCAAGACAGCCATTTGTTCTTTGCATCTGCTGCAGGGTTATCATAATGCTTATAATGCTTACAAAACATCTTGTAGTTAAAACTGGTGATTTTCAGCTAATATCAATTTAATTTAACCAAAGAATACAGAATATGTTTCATAAAGGTGTTCAATAAAGAGCACAACATTTCCCTGGATGGTGTTTAAGACAGTGTTCTTTTTATTAATAACTGTGGCTTATAATAGTCCCTAATTACTCAGTGATAGGAGCTATCAGATGTTCTTTAACTTGACATAAATCACCTCTCTGTGTCTCCACCCCAGAAGCTGAGACTAACTTCCAAGTACAACCCAAATTGTCACAATTCTTAAGCTAATGATAGATGCATAATTCCAGACTTTGCTACCAAAAGGGCAAGGTTGTGTTGTGGTTGAAATCCTGGCTCACGCTACTTGGTTTGAATCCTGCTCAGGAATCAGAGTAGATTTTCTAAGTTTTCTGGGTATATTTCATGTAGTATAAAGGAGGAATTATAACAGGACCTAACACAAAGCATTGTAAAGGATGGTGAAATGAAGACTAGGAGAGCAGTAAGTACTCTGAGTGCTACGGTAGTAGTTGATGTAGGCTACTTTCTATAAGGTTAAGTGATGAAAAGTGTAGTAAAGTCAATGTTATCCTTCTTTTTGCCTCACCCATGAATTAATGTTATTTCTGAATCCAGGCTTCCTTCACTCGAGCTCCACTCCTACTCTTAAATGGAGGATGAAGGGTGAGGAGGGACAGTGGCACAGGATCCTGTCCTCATGAAGTGAGCCAGGTACTGGGCAGGACTGTACTACATGCAAACTTCTAAGCCACTAGAAAGTTCACATCCATGGTGATGTGCAACAATGACGATGTGATATGTGCCTTTTATTGGAACTCAGTAGCAATACTTCCAGAACTCCATTTCAGATGTTCTATATCCATTTAGAGGTATGACAGGGACCAAGAAAGGTGGATGAGGCTTTGGTACAACCATTCTAACTCCAATTTTCCTATTGATTTCTAACCAGAATGACAGGACTATATGGAATAACAATAGAGACTTCAATATAAAGGAGAAGAGTAGACTGATCTAATACAACTTTCTGGAAATTTGATGGTCTTATGGTAGGATCCAGTGAATTCCTTGGCTTCCAGCTTGGCCAGTTCATATTGTTCACTATTTTCACAGAGGCTATTCTTTTGCAAATTGTTCCTTACTTTCCTTCTGTTTTGGTTTTATTTTGAAAAAAAAAAGTTTTCCCCTGATGGTAGCTAAGTCTACATGCGTGTGTGTGTGTGTGTGTGTGTGTGTGTGTGTGTATGTGTGTGTGTGTGTATGTGTGTGTGTGTGTGTAGATAGACTCAAAGCTGATGCTAGCTAGTAGTCTTGGTTAATCACTCTCCACTTTATTCATTGAGGCAGAAGTCTCAATGAATAAAGTCTCTCCATTGTACCCGGAGCTTGCTGCTTCAGCTAGTTTAGCTAGCCAGAAGACCCTGGGTTCTTCTGCATCGCTCTAGGAGTCAGATTACAGGCAGGCCACCTGTTTATGTTGATTCCAGAGATCTAACTCACATCCTCACACATGAGCAGCAAGTGTGTTACCCATAGAGCCATATCCTAGCCCTTCCACTTCAGGCTTACCAGGTCATCCGCAGAAAGAAGGCTACAAACCATCCACTGAGTTTCCAGGAGGGGATTTTCATGGGTCCAGCATGAATTATGTGTTGTTCTCTGAAAAATGGAAACAGCACCCTGATTGGCTGGCCATACACAACCCCCTTAGGGAATAGAAGTATTGAATTCAACCTTCAGATTTTAAAGAGGAGGGGAAAGATTGGTGGCTTCAAAGTAAAATTGGAGCATTGTTCCCCAAAGAAGGCAAAGAGAAAGTCAAGCTGACAGATCCCATTCCAAGCAAGGGTTCAGAATGCAGGACAAGAGCACACACATGTCTGTAAAACCCTGAGCCAAGAAACGTTAGTGCAGCAGCTGGGTAAACCTGATGTTGATGTGAATGATTTATTTTTCTGTATTCTTTTCTTACAGCCAGGACCCAAAGTTCATTCACCTGCCGAGCCTCTACTGAGGCCCCTGCCCTGTGCCTGGTGCTGCGCTAGAGGCTGAGGTCAAGGGAGCCACAAGACCTTCAAGACATCTAGGCCTGAAGTCTTCCTGAAAGCTGAACCAGGCCACAGCCATGTTCTATTTCCCTCCAGCTAGGATTTTCATCTTATCCTTCTCCTCCAGTAAGGCTGGGACTTGCTCACATCCCTCTGCTCTTCAATGGAAGGCGTGTTATAAAGTGGGATGTATCATTGGAGATGCAGGTAAGAAATCTGAAGCAAATGACCTCATCTAACCCTCATCAGCCTCCATCCTGGCCCTTGCCCCCACCGCAGGTACAAGGACAAAAGGGCCATTGTCCTTAGAAGCCTATAGGATAAATGGAGAGAAAACGTGTCTTTGCTGGTTAATCTGCCTTGATAAAGAGTATTGTTTTATCTCCTGCCATCGCTAGGACTTCAAGGGGTGAATTCTACTTGGGACAAAGTCTGCGTTGTCTTTTCCAACTCACTGAGACGATTAAATTGACCTTTCATATAGTCTGTGGTTGTCACAGCCCAAGTGCCAAGGTGTTAGGGTGCCTTGAGAATATTCTCCTTTCCCCCCACAAGGGGCATGCCATCTCCAGAGACGCTGTGGGCCCAAGAAGCAGTGTGCTTCTCTTCAGCTTCACTTCTAATTTTTAAAATTAAGAATGTAATCCCTTGAGTAAATTCATGCTTACGAGAAAAATATAAGGCAAGTACAATGAATTGCCTCCCTACTCCCCAACACCTTCTTCTAGTTTTCCCTAGTGATATCATTTGCACTTATGGTTTCCTAAACTGGTCATGAGGCAGTACCAATACTTTATTATACTAATTGTATTAGATTACATCACAAGTACACAGTTTACTTTAGGTTCACTCTGCATTGTACATGCTAAAGGTTTGGTTAACATTATGACACATATCTACCACTCTATGTTAAGATATAAAGGAGTTTCACTACCTTAAAAACCTTGTGTGTTCTACCAACTCGCCCCTCATTCCCACCTCCCACTCCCTCCAGGCAGGTGCTAATGCTTTCCCTCTCTAGCTTTACCTGTTCCAGAATGTCATAGAGCTAGGATCATCCCTATGGTCACTCAGATAAGCATCTGTCAGTTGGCATTGGGAGAACTGTTTTCCTTGTTGTGGCTTGATAGCTCATCTCTTTTTACTAGTCAATAGTTTCTTTTTTTAATTTTTATTTTTAAATTTAAATTAGAAACAAGGATGCTTCACATGTCAATCCCAGGTCCCTCTCCTTTTCCCTCCCCTCATCCCACACCTTTCCACCAAGCCCCTCCAATATCCCCTCCTTTCCCCAGGGAGAGTGAGGCCCTCCATGGGGGTATTCTTAGTCTGTCATTTCATCCAGGGCAGGGCATAGACCCTCTCCCAAGAGTCCGGGGTGAGAGTGCATCTCTCATTGTGGGATGGACACCCAAAAATCCATTTGTATGCCAGGGATAAATACTGATGTACTACCCAAGGCCCCATAGATTGTCTAGGCCTCCTCACTGACACCCACATTCAGGGGGTCTTGATCAGTCCCATGCTGGATTCCCAGCCATCAGTCTGAGATTCAAGAGCTCCCCCTTGTTCAGTTCAGCTGTTTCTGGGGGTTAAATCAGCCCAGTCTTAACTCCTTTGCTCAGCAGTCCTCCCTCTCTGTCACTGGGTTCCTTGAGTTTAGCTCAGTGTTTAGCTGTGGGAGTCTGCCTCTGTTTCCATCAGTAATTGGATAAAAGTTCTGTTTCCCAGACTCTCTGGCCATGGGATTGTAGAGTACATACCATGTTTGTCTTTCTGTGGCTGGGTTACCTCACTCAAGATTGTTTCTTCTAGTGCCATCCGTTTGCCTGCAAATTTCAGGATTCCATTGTTTTTTTCTGCTGAATAGTACTCCATTGTGTAAATGTACCACATTTTCTCTATCTACTCTTCAGCTGAGGAGGAGCATCTATGTTGCTTCCACGTTCTGGCTATTACACATAATGCTGCAATGAACATAGTGGAACAGATGTCTTTGCTGTATGAATGTGCATCTTTTGGATATATGCCTAAGAGTGGAGTTGCTGGGTCTTGTGGTAGGCTTATTCCCATTTTTCTGAGGAATCTCCATACTGATTTCCAAAGTGGCTGTATGAGTTGGCACTCCCACCAGCAGTGGAGGAGTGTTCCCCTTTCTCCAAATTCTCTCCAGCATAAACTGTCATTGGTGTTTTTGATTTTAGCCATTCTGACAGGAGTCAGATGGTATCTCAGAGTTGTTTTGATTTGCATTTCCCGGATGGTTAAGGATGTTGAGCACTTTCTCAAGTGCCTCTCAGCCATTTTAGACTCCTCTATTGAGAATTCTCTATTTAGTTCTGTAGTACACTTTTTAATTGGATCCTTTGGTGTTTTGGAGACTTTCTTCTTGAGTTCTTTGTAAATTTTGGAGATCATCCCTCTGTCAGATGTGGGGTTAGTGAATATCTTTTCCTATTCTGTGGGCTGCCTTTTTGTCTGCTGACTGTGTCCTTTGCCTTACAGAAGCTTCTCAGTTTCAGGAGGTCCCATGTATTAATTGTTGACTTCATTGTCTATGCTACTGGAGTTATGTTCAGGAAGCGGTCTCCTGTACCAATTCGTCCTAGTTTCTTAAGGTGCTGGGGATTGAACCCAGGGACTTTCCTATGATGGACAAGTGTTGTACCATGGAACAGAATCCAGATCTTATTGTTCAATAGTTCCTACCTTACTTTAAAATCTTTCCATGTAACAATTGTTTCCTATGAGAAAAACCTAAATTTTTATAAAGGGCCTTATTTTGTGTGTTATTTCAAAAACTAAAATGACTAAAAAAGCAATTTCAAGTGCTTTTTTGTGCCATGGAGAACCAGAGCAAATCAGAATACATCAACTAGATTAAGTTGTTTTGGGCTTCAGGCAGCATTGATGTTCATGGCAATTGTATACAGGCAAATTTATAGTCATATAATTCTGTTCTCCTGAAATAACTAATCTTCTATTTTTCTCCCCAGCAATATTAGAGGTCCCACTTATGGTTAGTAAAAACATGCACAAATTCACTTTTAATACATGGGCCAAACATTTTTCCTTTCTATTTCCATTTCTGGAACAGAACATACCTAATCTGTCCAGGAAAGTAACATGGAAAGGGGTGTTCCCATTCAGTTATCCTGTGACATGGAGGATGGAATGGGAGGGCACCGTGGAGAGTAGGGATCACAGAAGGCTGAATGTGCCTGAGCTGAATGTGCTTGCCATGCCTGGGGAGATTAGTGTTCTTTCTCCATAAGACTCAGTGTATTCATCCATAAACCACAACTAATGATAGTTTCCACCTTCTAAGGCTGTTCTGGGGGTCAAAGGGGAAAACCCACAGAGCGTATCAACAGCAGAGGCAACAACAAAAAGTCTCTGCAAACAGCAGTAAGCCATGCAGGGCCTTTGACCCATGGAGAAAGGAAGGACTAAGTCCATTTAGGTGCTCACTAAATTAGTCCTAACTGTCCACAGGGGCGAAAGCAGTGTTAATCCTGTCACAGATGTGTTCTTAGCCATAGCTAAGTCTGTCTGAGAATCCAGCTTCACTGAACTGAAGGTCATGGGTCATGTGAAATGTTACAGAATTGAGCACACTGTTTTTCCTTTTTTGGCTCTACTGCTGTTATGACAGGGCTACTGATAATAACTTGCAATCTTCACTCTGCCTGCCTCGAAAGTCCCATTTCCTGAGCAAGTGTCTGCACTGGAAAGGTCATTAGGTGACAGCACATTTCCAAGTAGGTGTGTGTGTTTCCCAGTTTGGGTCAACAGTTAACTTGAGGTTAACTGAAGGATTCAGAATTCCTCTTTGCCTATTCCCAATCATCTTTCTTTTCTTATATACTTTTACTGTAAGATAATGATAATACAAGAAATCTATATCTCAGATTCCATATTATACCAAGTAGGCCAGGAGTTCCTGCGAATCTATCAGGAACTCCCTCTGTGTCAGCTGGGGACCGTGATTCTTTCTTGTCTCATTGCTCTCTGTGCCTCTGCATCAGTGATGTTCTGAGCTTGGCAGCTCTTGCAGAGTGCTGGCCAGGAAGCAACAAGACTCATGGGCCTTTTATTCTTATTTAGAGAGAACAAAGCTACTTGCATTTCTGAATTACAGTTTTGTAGAAGAAGAGGAGGAGGAAGAAGAAGAGGAGGAGGAAGAGGAAAGAAGTGTAAATCTCTTAACACTCTGGACGTTGAACATCATTTTTATCGTGATTTACACACTTTACTTTTGCAGAGCAAATTTGCTTTACCAAAGGCAGATTATAAATCAAGCACCAGCCAATTCCATTATATCTCTGTGTATCCGAAAAAATACAGACAGGCATCCTAGAAAGCATGCTTGAAGTGATTATGGGAAGAGAGGTCCAGGAAGATGGGAAGACAACAATATGATGCTGGGGAAACTATTACCTAAAGCAATATCAGGAGGGCTCTGTGATGGAAACATCAACAAATACTGGCAAGAGATGATCAACTATTAGGGCTAGGTTTGGACTCAATTGTGTTTTTAAAAAAAAAGGAAGAAAGAAAGACAAGAAAAACAAAGCAATGGAATTAAGGTCTATTAGTAGTCACATGATAGAGTATCAGGAAGGAGGTAAACTTAGTGGTTAATGATCATAGATTTGAGAGTGACAATGGATTTGAGGTCAACTTGCACTTTGAACTATTCATTTCAATAAACCAATCCAACCATCAACCCCTGCTTGTGGCAAATGAGATAATGATCATCTCAGTATTCTTGAAAATTTGATTTGATAAAATAAGCAAAAATGAGTAGTTCAGGTAGAGTTTTATGAACGGTTGGTTCCCTTTTGTTTAATTGTTAAGAACTCTGAATGAAGGGGCACCATTGAACTTTATCACCACAAAATCCCATATATTCTGAAGGAGCCAGTAAAGTCAGTGTTCTGACAGAAACAACATGGAAGATACTGCCTCAAATAAATGAAATCCAAAACTGTGTGTGCTGACACCCTCATTAAAGCAGGGATTTTGAAGTATGGCTTCTGATTGTTTCTCCAGGACTTTGGGCATCTGGGTCAAAAGTACATCATTAATGCTGTCTTCGTTGCTATTGAAAATGGATTCCGTTTACATCGGTCCTATTTACAGCAGCTTTCCCGGGACTCAAATAAAACGAGGCTCACCTGCCCACTAGCATGCAAGCTCTGCAA